CATACGTTGTGGAGGCCATAGAATGAAATTGCACGCCAGGCCATTGCTTAAGTGGAATCCGAATGGGAAGTAACGAGTGGGTTTTCGGTGCGAGGGTGACATGGAGAAGATCGTGTGGCCAGGAGGAGATGAGAGATTATGGGCAACCGTGTGGTTAGCTAGCTGAAGTGGACTGCAGAAAGTAGAAGAAAGTGCACATGTGTTGTTGAAGCCCTAATTTCCACTCGGAACTCAAGGGAATCCCTCAGACATTCAAGCAGCGGGTACTGATGGAATGACTTTAGAGGTATTTAAGTACTGTGGAGACAGCTTACTTTCTGCATTAACTGAAGTTCTAGGCAGCGTCTGGGAATCAGAGGAGGTCCCATTGGGTTGGTGTATGTCACCACTCATCCCGATATCGAAGAAGGGAGACAAGTCCTCTTGTGATAATCACAGAGGGATTAGCTTGACTAATATAGTATCTAAATTCCTAGGCTCAATAATACTGCGTAGACTAAGTGGTGCTTCGGAGGCACAAACACGAGAAAACCAGGCAGGTTTTAGGCCAGGAAGAGAGTGTATTGATCATATATTCACCATTCGACAGATTCTAGAACATAGGCATTCCTACCGGCGTCCAACAATCATTATATTTCTTGACCTAGAGGCGGCATTCGATTCTGTCGACCGAGAGGTACTCTGGCGATGCTTGGCTGTAAAGGGAATGACGAGAAAATGCATTGCACTGATTAAGGCACTCTACTCGTACTCATGCAGCCAGGTGAGGGCTTACGGCGAGTTGTCATCTGAAGTGGTGACGACTAGTGGTGTCCGACAGGGACGCCCACTATCCCCATTTCTATTCAACTTCATCATAGACGTACTAATGGACTTAACCCTAACACACTTCAGCGACTCAGGGATTGACTTGCTACCAGGGAATAATCTCGTCGACTTAGAATATGCAGATGATACAGTCCTTCTAGGTGAGGACGCTGACAAAATGCAGAGCCTTCTGAACACCTTGAGCTGCAATCTACGAATGTTTGGCATGTGATTCGCTCCCGCCAAATGTAAGATGATAATACAGGACTGGACTACACTGACTCCTAGATTATAAATAAGAAGTGAAGTGGTAGAGCACGTTGACCGCTTCACTTACTTCGGAAGTACCATCAGCCCCAACGGGTTGATCTCTGACGAAATCTCAGCACGAATACAGAGGGCTAGTTTCGCATATGCCAGTTTACGCCGTCTCTGGCGTAGACGTGATATCCGACTATCGACCAAAGGGCGTGTGCACTGCTCATCAGTTCGCTCCGTCCTCCTTTATGGCTGTGAGACCTAGCCATTGAGAGCAGAAGACATGAAAAGATTAGCTGTCTTCGATCATAGGTGCCTGCGTTCTATCTCCCCCGTGAAGTGGTATAATAAGGTGAGCAATATTGAGGTTAGGCGTCGAGTGCTAGGTAAGGAAGGGAAATCAGTCGACGAGGCTGTGAAATTACATCGACTGAGATGGTTAGGACATGTGTTACGCATGTGTGCCTCGCTATCGCCTTCCTCGACGGGCAATGTTAGCTGATATAGGGTCAGGCTGGAAAAGAGCTAACGGCGGTCAAACGAAAACATGGCACCAGTCAATGAAATCTACAACAGTTAGTCTAAGCCACGTAGGAAGGTGTAGACTTCCTGGTTGGGGTCCTCAGGACGGTAAAATCAATGGTTGGAAACAATTGGTGACATGGCTCAAAATCGTTCTCAATAATGGCGCAGATGCATCCACTCCTTGTGACTTATGATTTCCAATGAAACTGTTTTGTTCTTCGTTATTACTATTCCTTTGTCTCGCACCTCTGTTTACTGCCTATGTTATGCATTTCTCCTACTTTCTTCTCTTGCTTTGTGTGCTACAAGGAGGGAGTGTGGCGACTTGAACTGCCGCACATATGTGCAAAGTTCTATTTCGAAAACAGACAGACAGACAGACAAACATTCATATCTTCTTGACTTTAATGGTCTGTTTATATATATATATATCTTCCTAGCATACTCACGACACATGTACAGTGAGTTGGGGGTAATCAGACACAAGATTTAATATTGCGAAATAATCACATGTCATTAACTGAAAGTCCGTCTGAACGAAGAATATTCTTTTTAATAAATTCTCTGGAGTTTATTACAATCACAATATATAATATTTCTTTATCGTTAAAATAATCGCCAGTTATGCGACGGAAACAGGTTCCGGTTTAGTCGGTCTTATTGCAGTAGTTTTAGGTATGTAGGCGACTTGTGCGTGATAATGTGGTGTATAATCCTGGACGCTATGATGGTGTCGATGTGCTATCCAGCCAGTATTGACCGTGAGCCGAAACTTTCTGTCCACAATTAACACTTTCAGGATCTCTTAATACCATGGCCAAACTTGGATAAAATATTTCTTCCCCTCTCCAAGACTGCCTCTTCCTATTATCCTTTTTTGTCATTTGCTATGCTTATTATAATTTATTGTAATAATTATTATCATTTATTATAATTTGCACCCTTTACTTTGGTATTCTTTCAATACTATCGAAATTTCCATTGAATATTATTCGGATTTATTTTTAGTGAAGTCATCGCTTTTCTCGATATATGCCTCCACCTGTTTCATTTCTTATATGGGTTATTTCAAGAGGAACTTTTCATTGCAGTCTTACTATGTCCTCTTTAATGCACACTTTTTGGTACTAGCCACTCACTTGACACCTTTTATGACCTTTAACTGGCATGTCAGTTCTTCTTACCCACATTCTATAAATCTGTTATGACTAATCACCAATATTGTCCCTAATTCCACAATCTTTTGTAATTTGAATTCTATTCAGGAGGTTTATCACACAAATACCATTTGTTTTTTCATATTATAATTAGCTTGTTATCTTATATGAAAACGTATTCGCCACAAAAGGTGGCCACTCCTGTAACGACGATAAATATTATATTTTCTAATTGTAAGGACCTCGAAAGAATTCACTGAAAAGAATATTCATCGTTCAGATTGACTTATAATCAGTCAGAAGCACTTTGAGTTGTCACTCCTTACTCTACACTTCAGAATAGATAAAGATTAATAAGGTTGACTCGTTGTACAGCCATATTTTTGAAACCAGGAAATGGTGAACATGCTTTATGAGTACGAGCTCTATATGCTGATCTTTATGTCTGTGGATAACATTCAGATTTTACTATCTCCATGGATTAAATTCGGCATAAAATAAATAAGAAAGGTAGTTTGGTTAATCCGTGTTTATATAAAAGTACTGTGAACTGTTTAACTTTTGTTAAATCTTTATACCATTGCCAACAGTAAAATTTTCACGTTTATGTTCTTTCTACTCGATAGTAGTATAAACATCAAATCAAAAATAATGGAGTCGGTTTAATATGTTACCATGATAACTTAATAGATGAATTAAAGTAAAGAATTATTATATTCCCACCTAATTGAAGGTCATAGGTGTCACTATTACACATTTTTCAATAAACATTTCCTTTCTCAATACTACTATACAAGTTTTGATTTAAACTAAAGGTGGTTGCATCCAAGAGGAACCGATTAATCATCTTGATGCATGACAGCATTTTGCATCTGAAGAATTCTTCTTTAAGTATAAGGCTATTTCGTCGATGGATACGTTTCTATATATATCGGTTAAGAGGCTAAATATTCCAAAAGTAAACAGGCTTTATCCAAATGTTGGTTACAGCAGGGATCTGATTGGTTCCAGGTTCTCATCATGAACTGACACTAAATACAGGGTATTTGGAAAACCTGGGACTACTGGTTTGAGACTCTTTAGCCGTCATCAGTGTTCAGACCAAAGACCTTCTGGTAACAAGGTGTGCTCGTAGGCCATTAGGCCACTGGGACTTGCCGATCCAATTGCAGGCCCGTGAATTCCAACTTCTTCCAATTCATGGTGTGCCACGACCATTAGCGAATGTCACCAACGAGTATTTGTCCTCACATCAAACCTTCTGTACCATACTGGTCACGACTACTCTCTAAAACTCAAGTAACTACCCACCTGGATGGGCCCGGTCAGTAGTGAGCATCACATTGTCATTGAAGTGTTGGTTTGCAGGGATTTGACTGGTTTTAAACTTCATGGAGTTTATCAATCTTGCACACTGTTACTAAGATTTCATTGAAAATTCCGAATCATTTGAATAGATCTGTTTAAATGGTTCTTATTTTACATCTCTCCGTACACAAATACTCACTTCAAATTTCTACTGAAGGCGTTGTCGAGGAATATTTGGATATAGTGTAGTTTATACTTATAAAATCACTATTTATTGACTCATATCCCCGTTTCAAGAACACTTTTACATCTTCTTGTTCTTCCGATTGAATCATTTGAGATATTTTCTTCCTAAAGAGTTCGATTCTCAGACGTTTTTTATATATCTTTAACAAATGGTCTGATGCATCGCACACAAACATAATTTCCAATTTTTGCCATCATACACAGCTGTAGGTGCCTTTTTTTAATCCGATATGTGCTACCAGTGGGTGGTAATTATTGATTTGTCTTTCTCAGATTTCTCGTTTCACTCAGTCTAATACTCATATTTTTATTCTTCTATTTATTCTGCAACTATTTAAATTCTTCGAAACGCTATTTTCGGGGTTTCGATTGTTTCACAGATAAAGTGAATGGATAAACAGAATATGCTGTGAATTAGTGTGCTTTTTAAACAATGTAACACTCTCAGTCCACTTATGCATCTCTTTACCTGAAGTGGATTTATTCTTCTTACAGAGGTTTCTTATAGTAGTTCTAAAAGCACTACGAACAAATTACGCGTTTTATATTCTAATCTGCAATACTGCAAACGACTGACATTTAAATCTAACTGGATATATCTTGATAGAATACAAAGAGACTTCTCAGTTGGATGAGTGCCATCTGAGCGTGTATGCGTTTTCCCAACCTAACCCGTAATAGCAATCAAAATAGGAATACTTATGAAAATTATTTTTTATTTAACAAAAGCTCGTGAGTTAGAGATGTTAATTACATAATACTACATCCTTTTGCACACTTTCTTTGACTTCTGTTTTTCCTTTTATAGACAGTGAATTCTGTAAGTTGAAAAAACCAATAGCAAATAAAAAACTGATGCAAAGAAAATCTAGCAGAAATTGATTATACTACTGAAATAATTAAAATTAAAAATTACTGATTTTTTTATTTTTTTTTTATTATAGTTTGATTCCGCAGCGTATTGTCGATACGAGTATGGAATTTTCAGCATGTGATATCGGTAGCCCAAATTTTGCAGGCTAACCATTGATATTTGGTGTGCGTCGGCAGGGGATCGAAACCCGGACCATGTGCATGATCGGCGAGAGTCCTAACCGCTGTGCCACTGACGCACAAAAAGAGACTCACAAGAGAGTCTCCAAGTGCTTCTGATACAACTAGTTGTATTCGATGGTTGGAGGCAAGTGGCAGGAAGCCTCACCTGACCTACGTTTTGTGCTAGTTGGCACTTACCAGTCAACAAGGCATATTTGCAACCTCGAAGGAACTCATTTCCCTTCTGAGATTCGAGCCCGCGTCACTCAATGCAATGTTGCAGTCAGAGATGTTACCACTAAGATATTCAGTCTCACGGTGTACCTCCTTTAGGACTGTATTAAATACTATGATTAAACACTTACTAGTGACATGTATCTAGTCCTTTGTTTTGCTGCAGACTGAATTCTACCAGTAAAGTTGTAATTGGAGCCAGACTATCAGCTGGGACTTTTGCTTATCACTCACTATCTGACCTTACCACCAGCTTTCGTGAGTCTAACAACTTTGTGAAGTAAATTGCACTAATTCCTCAGACACACAGGTAAACCAACGTTGGCTAGTGGGAACTAGATATAAATAAAGATCTGCTTACATAGGAATACGAAACACAAAACGGAGTGATATGTCTTTTATTCATTCCATCAACTTACCATTTTGGTTTTTACGTTCTCCATCAGAAACTCGGATAATTTTTATATCACCTAGAATTATAAGTAAAATTAGAAGACAGAATTTAACTGGTTCGTAATGTGGATAGATATGATTTTTTGACCTACACATTAGAGTAGACTACAGTTTAAAGTACATATGTATTCTGCTCAGTGGTAAAGATACTGTCTGGCTGTGCATGAAGATCACAGTCGTAGGGTCATCACCATGTTTTTATATTTTATCATTACCAGAAGACGTGTCTACGTCATAAGTAACGTTGAAAAGTAATGACGTATTTTCAGGTAACACAAACCTTTGTTAAGACAGCATCTCTACCATGATTTTCAATGATAATATCTGTGTTAGCTAAGCTAACAGGTGAAGAATACCTTATACATATGGTTACTGAAATTATAAAAGTGAGTGAACTTGTAATCAACAAGTATACGTAGTAGTTGCCTTTCTCAGTAACATCATCAGCAGAATACACAATGAAAACCAAGAATTTGAAGGGCGTGGAAGGCCACGGTTCTCGCGTCATACAGCCAGGAAAATCTGAAGCCAAATTTTTTTAAAGCAACATGAAACCGATGGCTGTATTTTACCTTTTATATTTTTTTCCGTGTCTTGATGTTCTTGCATCGACTGGATTGATTTTCCGGAGTAAGGTCAATAGCCCTTCTGCAACCTTTCTTGTTTTTCCGAGCTTAGGGCCGGCTAGTAAACTAGGCACGTCATCAGAAAATTTCTAACACGCTGGAGACCTTCATGGAGAGAGGCCTTAGCTCCATAATAAAGATGAAATGGCCAGAAAGCAGAGCAACAAGAAACTCTGGAAGCGTACCAACGCTGAACCAGAAGCCCTTAGGGGAGGAGATGGATAGGGCACACACTGAAGAAGCTTTTGAGCAATATGACACTGAAGGCCCTGGGTGGAACCAGAACGGGAAACGAAGAGTTGGGCGTCCGAGGGTGACATGGAGGAGATTACATGAGGAGACGGAAGTTATGCGCAATCGGAGAGCCAACTAAAGACTACTTCAGAGAACACAATGCAATGGAGATGTGTTGGTGAATCCCTTTGTTCCAATGGGAACTTGAAAGAATGCTAATAATAATAATGGTTTTAAACGTCCATCAAAACAGACTTCTTGATAATGCTTCACTATTCTTTTGCTGCGTTTTATTGATGTTTTCGGGGTACTCAATGTATTACTTCGTAAACTTTGATTTGACGCTAGGTAGGTGGATAGCTTGTCAGTGTGAGGGTGATTTGGAGCCAATCGTGTGACAAGGAGAAGATGAGAGATTATGGTCAACCGTAAACGCGGATGAAGAGGAAGGCAGGAAATAGAAGAAAGTGGAGATGTGACACAAATTTACGGCAGATGGCTGAAATGAAGACGGTAATGTATATACCTTGTGAGTTTGCTATTTCTGAATTTTTCCAAAATAGTCGTTATCGCCAAATGTTCTCATTTTGATTACTTTCCATGAAGAGAAGCTGATTAAGACTAGTGTAACCAGTTTATCGGATTATGTGTCAGACAGTGGGAAACGAGAAGACGGGGATATCCTGGACCGACGTGAAGAATCTAGAAGACCTGGATTTGTTTGTTTGATGTCACACAAAATCGAAGACTTACAAGCGAAAACCGACAAACTGGTCGAAGAAGCACCAAAGATAAGACTAAAGGTGAACAAAGACAAGACGGAGGTTATGAAAATAACCAGCCAACCAACAACAACAACAACAGCATCAGCAACATCCAGCGCCAATCACCATCAACGGGAGGGATTTGAAAGAGGTTACTTCATTCATTTATCTAGAGAGCATTGTCTCAACTACATGAGGAACGGACGAGGATGTCAAATCGAGCGAGAATCGGAAAGGCGAGAAACACATTCATCAACCTGAAACCAATCTGGAAATCTTCGTCACTCAACTCAGTGTCAACAACAAAATTCGGATTTTCAATACAAACGTCAAGTCAGTCAGTTCTTCTATACAGATCAGAAACTTGGCGGGTGACTAAGGATATTTCCAACAGCCTGTTGCAGACCTTTATCAACAACAACTGTCTTCGCTCTATACTGAAGATCAGATGGCCGGAAAGAATCACAAACAAGAAACTATGGGAACAAACAAAACAAGAACCAATCGCCCAACAAATATGCAGGAGAAAGTGGAGATGGATTGGACACTCGCTGAGGAGGCCGTTGGGTGAGGTCGCGCGTCAGGCCAGTGCTCGAGTGGAACCCGAAAGGGAAGCGGCGAGTGGGACGTCCAAGGGTGACATGGAGGAGGCCGTGTGAAGAGGAGCTGAAACAGTGTGGACTAGCATGGATGCAAGTGAAAAGCACAGCAGAAGACAGAAGCAAGTGGAGGCGTGCAGTTGAAGCCCTATGTTCCACTAGGAACCCAAGGGAACAATAATAATAATAACCAGTTTACCAGTTAAATGGTATAAATATACGCAGACAATACATGGCTGAGAAAGTGACAGCGTACTGAAAACAGGAGAGGTGTACATCATTTTGAGTCATCTCAAGCAGTTGTGCTGTCACATGTATTTACTACAATTTGCCTCTTACGGAAGTTTAAAAGTGTCTGATAACGTCTGTAAAGGGTCCAATTAAAACTTGCTATCGACTACACAATTTTTTCACCCGACTAAATGACACGATATTTTGATGAAATATAGTGCTGTATGACTGAATACCAGATACAAAGAGAAGTATGCAGTTCTAGATTTAAATTTCGTAATTCACGTCAGTAAACAGGTTGACACCTCCAAACCTCCAAGGAAACTGACATTCTGTGTTATTTAATTATGTTTTCGGTTAATTCCCCATTAAGCTATTCAGATCACATTCGATCCTGTATTGGATCAAGATACTGCTCGGTATGTCTGCACAATCTTTCGTGAAGGAATTCTTTAGTGAGTATAATTTTTCTTAAATGCGTCAGATGAAGGTCAAAAGCGTCACACTTAGTTCTGAGGCTTAACGCAAGACTTTTCTCACGAAATTTAACTCTGTTGTGTACATTTCTCGTATGCTTTCTAGGTGTATTCACTATGTCATATAGGGTTTTTCATGAATGTGCAAATCATAGGGCAATTTGCACTCAATATTCAGCAGATAACTGTGCAAATTAACGAATTATTCCTAGGAAGCCTCGACATCATTCTGCTATGAGTGACGTCCCAGGCATATTCCACGAATACATTCCTTGAGACTCATCAGTCGTTCTCTGTTTGCCTTTGTTAAACTCATTGGTTTAAGTGAAACTATACTGAACTCCCCGCGTGCGTCGGTGGCATAGCGGTTAGGATGCTCGCCGACCATGCATATGGTCCCGGGTTCGATCACCGGCCGGCGCACTCCTATACCTCACTAAGCCAGAAATAATGCTGGTAAAGAGGAAAGGTTGGGCATGAGGCTAGCAGCCTCATCCTGTAGAAATAAACACTGCTACAGAAACTTCAAGCCACTAGCTTGAAGCCCTATGTTCCACTGGGAACATGAAGGAATAAAAAAAATACTGAACTCCCCAAGTGCTGTTGTGGGCTGATGAGTTATGATTGAGGTTGAAGAGTAAACTTAGATAGCGGAAGAATTAGAATTAGCCGAATGCAGACTAAAAGCCAAGCCCTACGGTGCTTATGATTCAGGAGGAAAAGCAATCATTCAGTTGTCCGGAGGTAAGTGGCCCAACTTTCTCCACCTTAATTCTTCTCCCACCGCATATTTGATTAGAAGTGATAAAAATATGCAAAGTAAATTCATAAGAAAACCAAATAAAAAATACTTCATAGTTCTCACCTCTTCTAGACACATCCCTGACCTCTTCTGATCTATCTCTTTCAGGAGCATGAATTATTTTGACGTTGCCTAAAAATTAGAGAGAATGGTGAAGATTTCATGCATTTGTTCCCCTTAATGAATTTAAATAACACAAGAACAACAGTGATTTGTGCAGAATAATATGGTACCATCATCTATTTCGTCGGCTTCTCATCAGCTGCTTACAGGCTAAATAAATTGTGAGGTTTACATACAGGAAAGTCTTAACATACTTGCAAATTTTACATGTTGTCAGTTGACAACATGTCGCTCTGTACTACAGGGCGAGAAGAATATGCTCTATAGAGAAATTAGAGGAAGAATTTGAGTTTGTTGAAAAGACATTGAAGAGCAGTGAGTACCCTCAAAGGTTCATCAACAAGTATGGAAGATCTTAAGTCAAAAATGTAAAACAAATCACAGAGGAAAAAAAGCCAATCTACTTTCAGCTTGATTATAAAGGTGAAAACATTACAGCGATGATCAACAGAAGACTGAGTACATCACTAGCTATAGCCTACCCTGCAGCTAAGCTCGTTCCCGTCTATCAAACAACTTGCTCTTTGGTGCAATCAAAAATCGATAGTAGTCCTTCTCATGTGAACTCCAACTGCATATACAAATTTACATGTATCTGCGGGAGCAGTTACTTTGGAAGGACAGAAAGAAGGGCATATCTACGATTTTTTGAACATGTAACAAAAGGTTTACGTCTAAAGGGAACAATTGCTTTCAACAGTGCCATCGCCAGGCATCTCCTCGACACGGGTCATGAGGTGGAAATCGAGAAATCCTTTAAAATTATCAGTAGACAAAGGAGCTCCATTCTCCTCAAGTTTGCCGAAGCAATTTCTATCAAACGCTTGAAACCAGATTTATGTGTTAAGAAAGAAGCAGTTATTAGTCTTTCCTTGCCATAGTAACTGCATGTCTTTATTCTCTACTCTGATTACGTAATCTTTGTCTTTAACCTCACTTTTCTTTTTTATAATCTTTAATATTGCTTGTCTCTTGTTTCTATGACGTGATTTGAACTCAGTACATCGTTACCAAATTTATTAGTTACTCATCATCTTATTCACCTCCCGTCTTTATTACTTTACTCCTTTACCATTGTATGCATACATTTATTTTGACTTGAACCGCCTGTGTAAAAACTATATAAGCACAATTTTCTGAGCACTTTTCACTAATTGTGGAACTTTCTGTCAACTGACAACATGTAAAATTTGCAAGTATGTTAAAACTTTCCTGTATGTAAACCTCACAATTTATTAAGCCTGTAGGCAGATGATGAGAAGCCGACGAAATAAATGATGGTACCATATTATTCTGCACAAATCACTGTTGTTCTTGCTTTATTTAAATGGTGAAGATATCAAGGAATGAATATCCACATGACATTTAAGCTTTAAAGATACAACTGTTATCGGAATGTAAGTAAATTTTTGCATTCGATATTCAAAGATATTCTCTTTCAGAATGTTTCCGAACACAGTCTACATTAATGATGACCATTTAGCCCACACCAATAAGCTTAATCATATCTGAATTAAGTGCCGATTGACTTTTTAGTGGACTTCGTGAGATTTCACGAAGGTATAGTGCACACAGTTTTAACAAAGTTTGCCAACATGAGCGGCATGCTATCGCTGACTCTTAATTTTTTCGGATGGAAAAAGTGAAAGAATTTGAATCACACATTCTAAAATCTAAGGTAAATAGTGGCCTCAATAGTCCTTACCTCTTTTGGGTACTTCACTGATGTCTTCTGGCCATCCTCGCTCTGGAGCGTAGGTCACTTTTACTGGGCCTAAAGATATGGAGAAAGTAGAGGAAGTATTGTTAAATTATATCATGACTATATCATTCTAATAATTATGCAAATCTTCTTCCTGAAATAACTTATCTAGAAAGATAAATCAGAGAATCGATTCTCCTCCATATTTCTGATTTCTGGGTGAAACTGCACACAGATTTCCTTGATAGTTACCTCGATCATACTTAGACTTCTAACTCCTTCTTACTTGTATAATGAAGGAGACGTTGCTTATTCAGTGAGATATGGATCTTGTGTTTTATTAGCCCAGTGGATAACGCTAAAACCTTTAACTTAGATGATGTCAGATTGGTGTCCTAATAGGAACACTTACTTATTGAAGTAAAGATAAATCCACAGTTGAAGTAGGCTGGTAACATTAAATAACCATCTCGGTTATTTTATTTAGAAGATTTCCACTGACAAGCCGTACTGAAATGTTACGCTCGTTATTTTTGTATCTTAAATAGATTGATCAGTTTTTTATTCTTTCACGTTCCCAGTGGAACATAGGGCTTCAAGCTAGTGGCTTGAAGTTTCTGTAGCAGTGTTTATTTTACAGGATGGGGTTGCTAGCCTCATGCCCAACCTTTCCTCTTCACCAGCATTATTTCTCGCTTAGCGAGGTAAAGGAATGCGTCGGCCGAGGATCGAACTTCGACCATATGCATGGTCGAGGAGCGTCCTACCGCTATGCAAGCAAGATGACAGTAGATGAAAGCAACTTATGCACCTTTCTAGTGGACCAATACTTGCCAGTTATGTTTCGGATTTGGCCACTGTTCTCCCTGATACAGTGAGTCACTACTTTCAAGTGTTGGTTCGTACGGATGCGACTGATTGCAAGTTGGATTTCATCACAACAGGGTCAAAAAGAGAACAATTGAAAACTACAAGCTACTGAGCAACTCTATCATTCTAGCTTGAAGCTGTGACGCCACCGGAGAACGAACCCAGCAGGTTCAGGATATGACATGAGCCTATAAACATTCGGCTTCTGCAAAGGGATCCAAATGCCTACGGATTCCAGCCTTTGCCATTTAGCCATATTGAGCACCACCTTCAGGAAATGCTGCCGACTAGTATCTACACTCGCGCCTATCTTGGTGCGCGGTATCCGTCGCTACTTCTCAGTGAAGTAAATTTCAAGTATTAGTTTGAAGGGACATCGCTGAATTCAAGTTAGGTTCCATCACAAAACTGATATGGATTTAACAACTTATCTAGTATGTACACTGTATACATATGTTATTATTCCGAAGAATCGAATACCTGTAAATTTTTGCTTTCATGCAGTGAATAATTTTTCAGTAATATTATGATGTAATATACACTTTATTTTGATGTACTTGTGTTCTATGAGCTGGATGGTTTATTTGCAAATCTTTCATCGCCCTAATAGGCGACATCTTCAGCGCATACTTCGATTCAAGAAGTGAGCTTTTAAATTTCTCCATGAGTTTATTAGATATCTCTCCCAGTAACCTTGGACGTGACTGTTTGTTCTTCTGTGTTTTCAGACTGTTTAGGCTGCTTGTAAAGGAACTGGTTGTTTTTTTACCAGAAGTTTGACCCTTGTGTATCTCGATGTGTCTATTGATTGATGGTTCACTGGACTACCAGGCTTCTAAAATTTCTCTAGCATTCTTGATGTTTCCTCTGTCTAATATTTGAACGGTGGCTGTCCCATTCGAATTGGTGTCTGTGGTTGTCTGTACGTGGTGATATGAAGGAGTCTATGTCATATCTTTTGACGGCTGGCTTATGTTTATGGATACGAAAACGAAGCAGACGTCCACTTTGGTCTATGTAGTGTTTTCCGAAATCGTTGGAATCTATTTTGTATATAATGTTGGTTTTCTCTTCTTTCAGTGTTAAGTCTTTCGGTTGAGACAGGGCTGAGTGAAGTGATTTTGTTGGTTTGTGTGCGAAATCAATTCCTAAAGGTTTGAAGAGTCTTCCACTGATTTCTGAGATGTCCTTTATATATGGTTGGGCGATTTTCCTTGTGCTCTCTTTGGGGGCCTTTGGTTTGGTTGGTTGGATGGCTTGATGAAGTTCCGCGGATAACCATTCTTTTCGAAGACGTCCATGAGATATTTTTCCTCAAATAGCAGTTTGCTTAAAACTTCGGCTACTGAAAACCTCCATCAATGTATTGCATATAATTTCCCTTATACAATTTGTTTAGATTCAGTAAAATATGACCTCCATTAGCGTTGTTTACTATGGCGTGTATTCGAAACATTTACAATCTGTAGTTTCTCAAGTTCCTACTAAACTTCAGAAGAAGCATTATACTCGATGGCACCCTATCCCAGCGCATGAGATGACTATTGCTGATTGGTGTCCTTGGTTCACAAAATATACTCCTGAAAGTTTTATAAGTGGCGTTAAACGAAATTTCTCCTTGAATTTCTCCAAGGAGAAGAAGAAGAGGCATCATAAAGGATTGGTTTGCTCTTCAGGTTAGGTTGAACTGTATCACGCGATATACTGTAGATTATTCTTCTATTTGAAGACCGCGGATCAAGAGAAGATAACATGCAATAAACTGCGCTGAAAATTCTGTTCATTAAATAAATACTGTTTTAGAATGAAGCAGTTCCTGTTATTATTAATCTTCTTTGAAGTAGGAGTGCTGCAATGAGTCCTAGCTCCCTCGTATAGTCTTTGTATAAAACTCCTTTTTCGTGTTATTGCATGTTGCTGTTGTAATTGAGTGTTTGGACTGTGTGTGCTGATTTTCTGTAGACTTGGACTTCCAATTTTCCCGAGGCTGTCCACTTGACTAAGATGTCCAAAATTGGGATTTTGTTCTCGGGTTCCTCTTCTTTTTTGGATTTGGCGTCGTTGAATACGCTGCTTATTAAGTTGTGAGTCTTTTCCAACTTGTTTCTTTCGATTATTACGAAAGTTTCATCTACGTAACGTATCCAAATTTTGGGTTTATTGTTTGGTGGGATTATGTTTTCCAGTCTTTGCATCACTATTTCTGTAATCAAACCTCACATGGGTGATCCTAAGGATGTTCTTTTCATTTGTCCATATATTTAGCCTTGGAATTAGAAATATATTGCTAGGCGTAGGCTTATGCATTCCATCCAACTTGTGTGCAGCGAAAATTCAATGCAAATAAACCATCGAACTCAGATAACATAACTATGTCAAAATCATTCACCTGAGCTACACACTTCGTTCATTATTATCTATGCGATTTATGGATTCGCCATGATAAAAGAAACCTACTGGCCAGAAATTTTAGTGATAACCTAATGATACCGAACAGTGAAAATATTCATTTTCACCAAATATCCTTCAGAAAGCATTAATTAAATAAGATCTAGGTCGGTCGGTTTTCGACATAGAACTTTGCACATAAGTGCTGCAGTTCAAGTCGCCACACTCCCTCTTGTAGCACACAAAGCAAGAGAAGAAAGTAGGAGAAATGCATAATATAGACAGTAAACAGAGGTATAGTAATAACGAAGAACAAAACAGTTTCATTGGAAATCATAAGTCACAAGGAGTGGATACATCTGCGCCACTGAGAACGATTTTGAGCCATGTTACCAATTGTTTCCAACCATTGGGTTTTACCATCCCGATGACCCCAACCAGGAAGTATACACCTTCCTACGTGGCCTAGACTAACTGTTGTAGATTTCATTGACTGGTGCCATGTTTTCGTTTGACCGCCGTTAGCTCTTTTCCAGCCTGACCCTATATCAGCTAACATTGCCCGTCTAGGAAGGCGATAGCGAGGCACACATGCGTAACACATGTCCTAACCATCTCAGTCGATGTAATTTCACAGCCTCGTCGACTGATTTCCCTTCCTTACCTAGCACTCGACGCCTAACCTCAGTATTGCTCACCTTATTATACCACTTCACGCGGAAGATAGAACGCAGGCACCTATGATCGAAGACAGCTAATCTTTTCATGTCTTCCGCTCTCAATGGCCAGGTCTCACAGCCATAAAGGAGGATGTAGCGGACTGCTGAGTGGTACACACGCCCTTTGTTCGATAGTCTAGGTATCATGATTACATAGTTTCAACTCAAGAAACAAAAAGAATTTTCTTCTGAAGATGACTTACGTGAATTAGCATAGTCTGCATTGCTTTTCCTCTTGTAAGTGTTGATTTCACCTAAAATATTTCAAGCAATATATATTCAATAAAATAATGTATGTATCACAGTGATTTGAAAGCTAAGGAATGCGAAACGGACGAGTACCTTGAGGTTAGCGTGTTCGAAATCCCCTTTGATTTTGAAGCTCTAATGTATTCAAAATCTGAATGCTTACTTTAGATCAAAGTTGTTGTGTTACCAAAGGTTTTAGAAAGTTAGGCATTCAATATTTCGTGTCATTCATAATGTCTCTATCTCAACTTCATCGACTTTGAAAAGGCCTTCGACAGCGTCGATCGAGAGGTGATTTGGAAACTACTTCGCTACTACGGGGTGCCACCGACAATTACACATCTCACCCAATAGCTGTACGACAATGCTGCATGGCAAGTAATCCACAACGCGAAACTTACGCAACCCTTCGAAGTGAGGACAGGAGTAAGACAAGGCTGCCTACTATTGCCAATGATTTTCTTGATTGCAGTAGACTGGATAATGCGACAAACAGTGGGAAATGAGGAAACACGCATAAGATGGACACATAAAAAACTTGGAGGATCTGCACTTCGCCGTTGATATATTTTACTTTATTTTTTTATTTTGATTACAGCTTGATGCCACACCGTCTTTTCAGTACAAGTATGGAATTTTCAGCATGGATATCGGTAGCCCAAATTTTGCAGGCCGATCATAGATATCAGGTGTGCGCCGGCAGGGGATCGAACCCCGGGCCATGTGCATGGTCGGCGGGAGTCCTAACCACTGTGCCACCGACGCACAAACTGGAAGATATGCAAGCGAAAAGCAACAAGTTGGCAGAAGAAGCATTAAAGATAGGACTTCAGGTGAACATAGAGAAAACAGAAGTGATGAAGATTCCTGGGCAAGAACAACAACAACAGACAACAATCAGCATAAATGGGAGGAACCTGAAAGAAGCAACCTCTTTTACCTACCTACCTGGGAAGCATCGTTTCCACTACAGGCAGACGGAACTGACGAGGATATCAAAGCAAGAGTCGGAAAAGCAAGACAAGCTTTCATTACTCTCAAGTCTGTGTGGTGGTCAACAACACTCAGCATCAAGAATAAGATCCGGATTTTCAACTCCAATGTGAAGTCAGTCAGTGCTACTATACGGATCAGAGACTTGGCGCGTCATAAAGAACATCTCAAACAAACTACAGACCTTCATTACCAGTTGTCTTCGCTCAGTACTCAAGATCAGATGGCCAGCCAGAAAAGATCAGCAACAAAGATCTCTGGAAGCGAACCAACCCAACAGGAACCGATTGTGAAACAAATAGGCAGAAAGAAATGCAAATGGATTGGTTATACTCTTAGAGAACCATCAAGTGACATTACTAGACAAGCCATTGCTCGAGTGGAACCCGAAAGGGAAGCGGCGAGTTGGTCGTCAGTGCAAGGGTGACTTGGATGATGTCATGTGAAGAGGAGATGAAAACGTATGGGCAGACATGGAGCCAGGTGAAGACTCTAGCAGAGAACCGAACGCAATGGAAATACACGGCTGAAGCCCTATGTTCCTCTAGGAATTAAAGGATACAATAATAATAAATAATAATAATGTCATAACAGTTAATGGCTTCCGCAATGAATGGACATGAATAGCCGTTGGCGGGCAATACGAAGCGAAACTGAAAGTGTACAAGTAGAGTTATACAAAGTATTATGAAAGGTGGTTAACTAATTGGAACCAATCTAGCTTACTTGTCCTATTTCCTATAAGATAATAATAGTCAGATGGCAAAGTGCCGTAATCTTATACTTTGTCTTTATGATCTCTTGAACAGCTTACTGACAAAGCGTTCAACTTCGTAGTCATTATGATTTACTATTTCATGAACACAGTGTATAGATCAGTTGTAATATGAGGGGGGCAAAACAGTTGACTAAGAATCCTCCAGCAATTCGTGGTATCTTTTCTTTCACTCTCTTGAGTTCAGGCGGTTTTTCAATCGATTTCATATTTATTGTCATCCATTTGCAACAACATAAAGTTCGTCAGTGTGAAGAAGGATACAATGTTTAACCTGACAATTGTGGTCTTTTCATAGTTCCTATCTCACTATGAATTTTTCTTGATATCCACCCAAAATTAAGATAGCCAATGTGTATTTCTAGTTTATTCTGTGAGAGACACGAATGCTGTAGTGTGTGTTCTTTGAACTGCTCCTCTGAATACCGGTGTTCTCCAGTTTTCATAATTGTTCTTTTGACCACATCCAGAAATATAATAAGTCTGAATTATTTAGACTTGCTTCACTCATTTTTCAGAGGATTCATGAGTTCTCTAGGATGACACAGTATATGTTAGAAATAAACCTGGCAACATCAAAAGCGTCCACACCAGATACAAACCTGATTTTTCATTGTAAGTTCATATGTATTATGTTTTCAAATGCATCAGAGGGGCGTCTTTATTTTGCATGAATTTTTGTTCAACTGAACTGAAGTCAACAGTTATGCCGACCACAGATGAGGTAACATTAACGGAACTTTGAAATAAACGATGTAAATAAATAATGACCCATACAGAATAAAAACTGACTGGCTTGGTGGTTAGCTTGAATGAGTTATTTTTCTCATGAGAAATCAGTGGCAATCACACTTCCAGGCAGAATTTGATTTCGTGACCTTGGGAGATCTAACTGATTTTTGAGTAATCCTAATTTTCCACCTCTACCAAGATACTACTAATAAAGATGAGTTAATTCAAAAGAAAAATTCCAGAAAATAAACGGCACATTTAAAAAGAATGAAGTTGCTTGAATTGGGCAACAGTCAGACGATAGATACTTCCACAGACTATGGAGGTCTTCATTGGTGAATACTGAAGTTCATATGACTGATAAAACCCTAAAACTCTATAGTCGGCAATGAGACACGTTACTATTTCGTCACTGGGATGAAATTCACTGACCAACGTTTGTTTTTCAAGCTACATTGGGGATGTTATTAACTGACAACTGTCCTCCACAACAAACAATTCCTCATACAGATTTAAGTGAATCCCTTTTGACTTTGGTCGTTTATAACAGTAAGTTTGTTATTCCATCTGTTAAATTGTTAAAAAATGATGTAATTTAGAATTGGGGTGATGAATAAGTGTAAAGGTAAATAAAGATTAGAAGGCTTTTTTTATTTGCTTTAGTCAGTGTGGACACATGATGACTTTGCATTGTTAGATTACAAACAGCCAGTGACAGTGAGCTTATAGCATATCTGTAATTGATTCCACTATCCTAAAAACAAATTTCCTGCGTCTACACCTTGTGTGCTGACGTCTCTTAGAAGTTTCTGGAAATTTCGAGAAAAAAATTGCAGAAAAAGAAATTTGAATATGGAGAATTACCATTTTTCTTTTTACCTTCACTTTCCCAGTGGAACATAGGACTTCAAGCTAGAGGCTTGAAGTTTCTGTAGCAGTGTTTTACTTTTACAGAATGAGGTTGCTAGCTTCATGCCCAACCTTTCCTCTTCACCAGCATTATTTCTAGCTTAGCGAGGTAAAGGAGTGCGTCGGTCGGTGATCGAACATCGGACCATGTGCATGGTCGGCGAGCGTCTTAACCGCTATGCCACCGATATTCTTGGATTTTCTCTAATTTTCTGAACAATGTCTCAGTGTGAAGAAATCTACCCTGAATTCCATCATTTAAGTGGATAATCTTGTTAACTATCAGAAAGACAATATCCATCAAGACTTTGATGAGAGTCTTTACTTATTCAGCAGATTTTCATTTGTGGCAGGGTACTGAGTTGCATCCTGATTATTTACTCCTACCATTCTAAAACGCTTCATGTGACCCATAATGTCTCGCTCCACCAAAACAGTCAATTATACATTACCATGTTTTTTTTTTAATGACAAGCAGAATCGTGCTTTCTTACAATTGACTGACAAGATAATGTCATCCATTAAATAGCAGAAAGTCAGTTTTAAATCCCTTTATAGGCAATCCCTCTCATACACTAGCAAAAATGTTTAATTACACACACGAAGTTAGAATGCTGTTTCACTAGGCCACGTCTTTTGAGTATTTCTCTGTAACTCCGGAAGACACTTTGACGATAGGAATATTCCTTTTACACAGTAATCAAATTAGCCGTCACATTCAACGCACTGGATAATTTTGAACAATAAAGTTTGCCATGAAGTCATCTAAGTCTTTTGCAGTTTCTGCATAGTGTTTTTGAATTTCTCAAATAGCTAAAAATTCTTTCTATACCGTAGTATAAAGAGAACAGAGATGAGGCAAACTAAAATTGCTTTTGCCTCAATTAGTTCAAAATATAATTAACTGATATTTCATACATATGCACATACAGCTATACTCACCGTCTATATTTCCTCGTGTTGGTTGGGGAACATTTTCTCTGAATTCACCAAATAAATTACCAGGTGGTTGATAACGTGCAACTATGTACACGTCTCTTCCATTATCTGCACGTTTAACACCAAATCCTACTCTTTTTGATGATTTCCAGATTAACTGGGTGAAATGACCTGAATGTGCGAAAAGCATTATGTATGTAATAGTGATAGTAAACTTATATGATAATATAACGAAGCAAAATTACAGTAAGAACGATTCTCTGGCCACGGTAGGGCGACTGGACAGAGTTTTAGTTTCCCATCCCGAATAACCAATGATTCAGCTACGTATAGATGGTGTGGAGCAAATTGTATCGGCTGTTTGCAACGTCAAGTCCACAAACGTATTCTAGAACACTGTCCAGTCTTGCTAGCCAGAGGAGAAGAGACAGATACTTGCAGCCCCTTCCTGTAACACCTCGTCAACTCTGGACATCAGGCATTACCGCATAAATGCTTCATGGTGCTACAGGGATTCTCAATACCACAGGAAAAGACTTCGAAGACGCCAGTTAATTATTTTCATCATTATTCTCATCATCCTTATTTCATTATCACTCTATTATTGTTTACGAATAGCATTGCATTTTCATACAGATTTTACAAATACACTTTATTTACTCCCCACCAGTGTTTGTCCACTCTAAACAATAATACTGATCAGTCATTTTTGCACACTTATTACGTCATCCCAGCTTCTGCCACTTTTTTTCAAATTTTCAGTTATTCACCCTTTTCTCCGTGAACATAGACAAGACGGAGGTTATGAAAATAACCAACAACAACAATAACAGCAGCAATATCCAGCGCCAATCACCATCAACGGGAGGGATTTGAAGGAGGTAACTTCATTCACTTATCTAGGGAACATTGTCTCAACTACAGGAGGAACGGACGAGGATGTCAAATCGAGCGAGAATCGGGAAGGCGAGGAACACATTCATCAACCTGAAACCAATCTGGAAATCTTCCACTGTCACTCAGCCTGCATCAACAACAAAATTCGGATTTTCAATAAAAACGTCAAGTCAGTCAGTTCTTCTATACGGATCAGAAACTTGGCCAGTGGGTCACAAAGAATATTTCCAACAGCCTGTTGCAGACATTTATCAACAACTGTCTTCGCTGGCTCTATACTGAAGATCAGATGGCCGGAAAGAACAAGAACCAAAAAGGAACTATGGGAACAAACAAAACAAGAACTAATCGCTCAACTAATATGCAGGAGAAAATGGAGGTGGATTGGACACTCACTGGGGAGACCGCTGGGTGACATTGCGCGTCAGGCCAGTGCTCCAGTGGAACCGAAGGGAACCGGCGAGTGGGACTTCCAAGGGTGACATGGAGGAGATGGTGTGAAGAGGAGCTGAAGCAGTATGGACTAACATGGATGCAAGTGAAAAGTACAGCAGAAGACAGAAGCAAGTGGAGACGTGTAGTTGAAGCCGTATGTTTCACTAGGAACCCAAGGGAAGAAAAATAATAATACACCCTTTTCTAGATTACACCTTGCATTACGTAAAATTTTTCCAGGACACATTTTACCAGTACCTGATTGGTCATATGAATTCTTTGTTGAAAATGTAATTACGAGTGTACATGTTACTAAAAAGAATCGTCGAGAAGAGAATTTTCTTCCCTGTTTACGTCTTTTCCTTGATTTCAATTTATGATACCAAGCAGGTGATACATTATTCCAAAGTAAATTATGGTGAAGTAACACCTTAAACTGAGTAATATAAAAGTCGTGAATTTAAGAATACTATCTTTTCCTGAGAATACATCTCATTTTTGTCTGTTTCTTTTACCTGGACTAATTTTTCACAGAAAATCTGTTTATTAATGAGAAAAGTCAAGCCTCTGGATATGTAATTGACGGTTTCTTACCAAACTGAATTTCTGCCCTTAAAATTCTGCTCAATTGTAAAACAATTCCATTCATTATTATTACCTGTCAATTAAATACTTTATTTATGAGAAAATCTTGCGTTATTTTATCAACATCTGCTAGTATTTTTTACAAGTATTTCCACGACATTTATTCGTATTCATTGATTTGTGAATTTAGACAATGGACGCAAAGGAATCAAATGAAAATACCATACTTATACTCCAAAGGGTTATGCATTGTCGTTTTACATCAACCGGTGGAATCGACTGAACTTAAGTCTTAAAACAATGATCTGTGGTGAAGGCGCTTTGAAACTTTATTCCGAAATGTTAGTTCTCATTCAGACTACATATGTATATGTACTATGGACTGGATTGTGTGTCAAACTATGGGGACAGAAGAGACAGGAGTACTCTGGATCATCGATAAGAAGACTTTAGAAGATCTGAATTTCTCAGAGGACTTATGCTCAGTATCACAGAAAATCGGAGACTTGCAAGTGAAAGCCCACAAACTGGGAGATGAGGAGGGCAACGGAGATAGGGCTACAGGTGAAAACAGGGAAGACGGAGGTGATGAAGATAACCAATCAACCAACCGGCGGCAACAACAACCAGCACCAATCGTCATCAACGGGAGAAATTTAGAAGGAGTTACTTCCTTTACTTATCCAGGAAGCAGTGTTTCAACCACAGGTGCAACAGATGAAGATATCAAAGCTGGCCAGAATCAGAAAGGCAGAATACACATTCATCAATCTGAAGTCAGTTTGAGAACCTTCTGTACTCAGCATAAACAACAAGATTCGGATTTTCGACACAAATATCAAATCAATTCTTCCATCTGGGTAAGAAACTTGCACTGTGTATCATGTAATATATCTCCGACAGTCTGCTGCAGACTTTTGTCGACAGCTGCTTCTGCTGACTCTATAATGAAGATCAATTGGCCTACCAGAAAGAATTAGTAACAAGAAATTATTGGAACAATCCAACCAAGAGCTGATTGCTCAACAAGTATTCAAGCGAAAATGGGAAAGAATACGGCACACACTAAAAATAACTCCGAATGACATCCTGTGCCAGACTATCGCTCGAGTGGAACCCGAGTGAGAAACGATGAGTGGTTTGTCAGAGAGTGACATGGAAGAGGTCATGTTGAGAGTAGGTGAGAGATTATGACCAATCTTGTGCTCCATATTCCACTAGGAACCCGAAAGAATAATAATAACACAGATGAGTGCCAAATCTAGCACGAAACCTAGGTCCAAGGCTTCCTGCCGATTGCCTCCAACCATCCAGTACCAACAATTCACAGTGCACCGTAATGGCGAGCCACCTAGCATGGTGGCCACATTGCAAACATGACTGGTAGAATTCAGTCTGCAGAGAAGATAGGACTAGACACATTTCACTAGTTACTGACTAATGTGAAATCAAAAATATCCAATACAGTCCTACAAGGGGTCAGTCGCGAGCCTGAATAGCTCAGTGGTAACGTCTCTGACTGCAGCACTGGGTGACGTGGGTTCGAATCTCAGAAGAGACATCAGTTCCTTCAAGGCTGCAGATACGCCTCGCTGATGAGTGCCAACTAGCACGAAACCTAGGTTCAAGGCTTCCTGCCGATCGCCTCCAACCATCTAATACACGGATAGTCCATTGGTGTCCACAAAGTTGCGTGTGAGGACAAATACTCGGTGACAATACAAGGCTAGTATTCGCGCTGTATAGCTGGTTGGAAGAAGTTAGAATTGATGGACCACTGGATTACGTCCCACTAGCTGAATGGTTAACCAACTCTCCTTGTAATCTTTAGGTCCTGAGTTCAATCTTTGGTGGGATGATGGATGAATACTACTGAAGAGTCACAAATAAGGACTGAGTAGCTGTTCAGTACTCCCTGATTTCAATGGTTCTCTGAATGAAGTGCGATCATAGTAAGTATTGAAATACATGTTTTTTACATTACTAAGTGCGTCAAATAGAATGTTGTTTTTTTCTCATAGATTTACTGGTCAATATTGAACATAGTCAACCTCGTTAAGTATTACACCATTTATTTAAAAAATGTAACGTTTTCAGCAATCATGTGAATATGTAGGCTTTTCATGTAAAAAAAAACACATTGGCAAGATACAATTCAAATGTTACCTTTGTTCAGTTGCATAGACAAAAAAACAAGCGATCAAATTTCAGTCGAATTTATTTTGAGTGGAACACTTCCAGTTAGAGACAAATACGTTAGTTAAATAAAAAAATAATAAAATGTTGGATTTATGCTTGTAACATTCAGATACAAATAACTGAGATTAATTCTCAAGTTCGTGTTCTGCAAAAAGTGAAACCATGTAAGGAGAATTATTTATTACCACCGACAACACAAAACAATGGGTCGTCAAAGTCAGTTATTATTCAGACACCTAAGCTAAATTACAAAGCTGGACATTCAAAATCTCACATATAATAGATTTGTTAACCTCATCACATGCTATATAGTAGATTGTTGAATAGCTATGGAAGTCGACTTTTCATAGGCAATGGATCACTGTTTTCAGGATAACTTCAATCCTTGATTGATAGCATTCGCCAACCACTTAATTCAGCTGAATCTAGTTAATTCAAGTATTGGTTTGTAGGGATTTGGTTGATTGGTTACGGGATTTCATCATGAGCTGACATTGATTAGAGAATCATTGGAAAACCTGAAGGGAGTACTGGACAGCTGTTTCGTCCTAGTTTGGGACTCCTCACAGTACGCACACACCGGGATTCGAACCCAGGACCTTCTGGTTACAAGGCGAGCTCGTATACCATTTAGCCATAGTTGTTAACTAATGTAAAAGAGGGAGGGGTTAAAGACTGTTTTAAGCAGTATCGTATCTAAAATAATAACTAATAATAATTCGACTATAGAGCTATGTATGAAAGGTTCGTGAACTTGCATTTTTGCAGTCTCATCATTTATACTGTTTATTCATAGAAATAAAACTGTATGCAGTCAAACGAACAACAGAGGTGTGCTAACTTTTGACGTATCCAACCTTCTTCTTGACATTTTCACTATGTGAGTGAAGAGCATCACCAAAAGAAGAGAAGCTGCTAGCGGCATATGTGTGCTACTCATTCAGACTCGTAGACCATTGAGCCACTGGGGCCCGATCCAGCGGCTCATGAATTCTAACTTCTGCCAATTCACGATATGGTGCATCCGCTAGCCAATGTCTTTGGCAAGTATTTGTCCCCATACCCAACTTGCTGCACCCTACTGGTCATGACTTCCCACTAGAACCCCAGGAAACTACCTACCTGAATAGGACCAGTCGCCAGTGAGCATACCGAGGGCATTAACTAGCGTTTGCGCCATATCGTGAATTGGCAGAAGTTAGAATTCATGGGCCAGACAAGCTGGTAGAAGAAGTAGAAAGGGAAGAACTTCAAGTGGACGCAGAGAAGACAGAGCTGATGAAGATGTCTAATTAACATTAACAAGCATAAATCAACATCATCGGAGAAAACCTATCTCACTAACCTGGACAACATTGTTATAACTACAGATGACACACATAGGAAATTCGAAACCATCAATTCAGGACCAGAAAAGCAAGACAGACTCTAAATTCTGTGTGACAATCTACTGCTCTGAGAGTAAAAACCAAGATATGAATTTTCGAGTGCTTCTATATGATTCAGAGGTTTGGTAGAAGCGTCACTAGAAGCATTTCTAGCAGCATTCTACAAGATGTAATCAACAGCTGCCTTCACCCAATACTGAGAATCACATTGCCAACCGGAACTTTGGTGGATAGAGAACCAGAGGATGGGCTATTGTCCAACAAACATGCAAAAGCAAATGGAGAAGGACTAGACATAGTCTGAGGAGATATTCAGGTGGTATCACACGATGGGAAGCCCAATGTTTGGAACCCGGATGGAAAACCTCAAGTTAGGCTGCTGAGAGTGACATGGATGAGATTGTGTTAATAGGAACTGAAAGCATATGGGTTGTTATGACACAAGCTAAAATTCCTGGTAGAGGGTGGATGAGGGTGCAAATATATCGTTGAAGTCTTATGTTTCACTCAGAGCAGAGAGTATGAATAATCATACTAATAACTGTATCTCGGCACATATGTAAATTCTGTATCAGAAAGCGAGATCACATGATTCTGTTCAGATAATACAAGCTTTTTCACAATACAATTGCAGGACTATCTGAACTAGAAATTGAGGAAGTCATTTATGAATTCCCTTTAGAAGAAAGTCACAGACTATACACATATATATGTGCACAGAATACTCTATTTATTTGAATTTCCTAATTACATGAATAAATTTAACCCATCTGACAAGTAAATGATACTTTCATATAATGTCTCACTAATATCCTCAGTATGGAAACAATTTGTTTTATTGAGCATAAAACTTTGAACCTTAGTGTTTGAATTCACAACCTGAAAATAATTACTGCTTGAATGTGATTCCAACCCTTACCTAATATAATATATGTAAATAAGATAATCTAGTGAAAACAAATTCACCTTTTTGTCCTTCTAACAGTGAATGATTAAGTAACAGAAATTGAGACCGTATAGCTACTAAGCACGGAATCAGCAAGATTCCCGTCTTGTCTCTAATATTATCCGATGAGTTATGTGCCTAATTTCCTTCTTGAGAAACTCTAGGTTACCTTTAAGAACACAAACTTTGAGTGCTCAAAATTTAAACGATATCTTAATGTAGAAAATAATTAAGGAATACCTCCTTGGATTTTCGCTACAGCAGTTGTAGAGATAAATGACAATCATATGAAAATAAAATAGGAATGATCGACTGCATATGAGGTAAGTTTCCTGGTAAATATGACACAGTAATGCAGTATTAACAACTGGATGACTTGGTTTCGAGCATAAATTATTGTTCGAAATCACATCATTCCAGTCATACGTTTTCACGGTTTGTCTTACTATTATTATTGTTTCGTTTAATTCTAAGAGGAACATAGGGCTTCAGCCGTGCGTCTCCATTGCGTTAGGTTCTCTGCTAGAGTCTTCACCTGGCTCCATGTCTGCCCACACGCTTTCATCTCCTCTTCACATTACCTCCTCCAAGTCACTCTTGTACTGACGACCAACTCGTCGCTTCCCTTTCGGGTTCCACTCGAGTAATGGCTTGTCTTGTGATGTCACTTGATGGTTTCCTCGGAGTATGGCCAGCCAATCCATCTCCATTTCTTCCTGCCTATTTGTTTCACAATCGGTTCCTGCTGTGTTGGTTCGCTCCCAGAGATCTCTGTTGCTGATCTTTTCTGTCTGGACATCTGATCTTGAGTATTGAGCGAAGACAAGTGTTAATGAAGGTTTGTAGTTTGTTTGAGGTGCTCTTTATGACGCTCTGGTCCCTGATCCGTATAGTAGTATAGTTGTAGAGTTGACATTGGAGTTGAAAATCTGGATCTTATTTTTGATGGTGAGTGCTGTCGACCTCCGTACAGACTTGAGATTAGTGAAAGCTTGTCTTGCTTTTCCGATTCTTGCTTTGATGTCCTCATCAGTTCCTCCTGTAGTTGAAACGATGCTTCCTAGGTGGGTAGGTAAAAGAGGTTGTTTCTTTCAGGTTCCTCCCATTTATGCTGGCTGATCGTTGTCTGTTGTTATTGTTCTTGTCCAGGAATCTTTATTACCTCTGTTTTCTCTATGTTCACCTGAAGTCCTATCTTTGATGCTTCTTCTGCCGACTTGTTGCTTTTCGCTTGCATATTTTCCAGTTTGTGGGAAATCAGACATATATCATCGGCGAAGTCCAGATCCTCCAAGTTTCTCTTATATATATATATATATATATATATACTGTCTCTTGTGTCTTGCCAAGTTACCTTTGTTGTTTGTTACCATTTTCCGTATCTCCTGTATAGACGTTACGTCATTCCAAATGCACGTGTGCGTGGTGTTGAGTCGATAAACACAGCTTCGGTGATTAACCTCTCTCTGTCTCTTCATCTAACTATATCACTTTTTAATACTCTCACCCCGTCCAACCCTATTTTGTGATTACATGCAAGTGAATACACTGCAATGGCTGAGTAGTTTACTGGGTTATTTAACTTAGCAGGGTTAATTATTCTAGGTCTAGCTAAATTTTTATGTTCCAATAGTCTAGTTAACCCCGGTCCAACACTAGTTTGACCTCACAGTCACAACATGGTAATTCGTAAACCATATTATTTTTCCTAATCGGATCTGTTAGGTCCTCAAGCCGATAAAGTTTATAACTCAGAGATTTGGTTGTTTGGTTTAAATGCTACCTTAATTCCAGTCTCGTTGAGAATGCTAAGTAAAGCCACTAACGTCCCTTCTTTATAGGGCAGTAAGTACTACAGAGGCAATGAATTCTATATTGTTTCCATCATTTTTACTGTTAATCTTAGTTTTTTCTATAGTACTTCATGTATTTTTGAATAAATCCTGGTGGATAGTGTGTTATTCACCGGAAGTACTTCCTTTATTTGTTTGGTTTCGTTATGTAAATCTTCTACTTTACTAATTGGGCTCTTGACCCGATCATACAGACGTTGAACTGAACCTATCCTCACCGATTCTGGATGGGATGAATTAAACTCTAAGTATTTATTAGAGAGTGTCGGTTTCCTATAAATGCTAATGTCTAACCCACCGTGTTGTTTTTCATTTTATTCTACAGTCTCTAGCATGGCCAACTCAATTTCTAACTAAGAGGTTAATTGGATTCCGTTTACTATTGAGTTTATATGTGTGAGAAACTGAGGGGATAGTTTCAGATTTCAACACAGTAACTGTGTGTCGTCCACACATCTCCACCATTACCTATAAGCAGGATTATATGTTCTAGGAGCTTTTTGTTCCCAACTATCCATTAACGTATCTGCTGCTGTTGCAGATATTGCCAATAATAGAACTAGATCTGATGAACTGCTAGCATAGTGTCAATTCCAAATTGTATTGATAATTAGTAGAGGGTATATTACTGACTTAATTAGTTTACTTAATAGGTGGAAGTTGACGTTTCAGAAAATTTACTTTTTCATTCTTCAGAGTAAGAGACTGTGATCGCAATGTTTGTTTATTGTCGTTACATACAACGTGAGGTTTTAAAAACACTTTATTCAGCGCTGAATTGATTGCAATCTTCGAAATGCGTCACACAAATCACCTCACTGATTTGAAATAGCATTAAGAAGGTGTTGGACAATTGAGAAAGAACAACGCATACTACACTACAGTGCTGTCCATAAGACCTAAATAATTACATTTTTTTATAGCTGAGTGTATGCATGTTTTTATTTACTTATGTTACAGCTCCCTTATTTGTGGAAGGTTTCTCGTGTATCAGACGATAACCAGCATCTGTTGTATGACAGATGAATTTTCTCCTCTGTTGTTGAGGATTCAGTTCCAGTAAACATGGAATGCAGGTCGTGTGTTTAAGCTTACGTGTCTGTACCTAGCACGCATTAAATAAACAAGCTATTTCCAAGTAAGGGTTTTTGTAGGGATTATTGTTTGATTGGTTGGAGGATTTCATCATGAGCTAATATCAGTTAGAGAAGCATTGGAAAACCTGAGAGTGCTGTTGAAGAGTCCGAAACTAGGACGAAACAGCTTTACAGTACTCCAAGATTTCCCAACAAATCAAATAAGCTGTTATCTAATACTCCAGCCGCCTTTTTAGAGCATAAAAATAACTTCATTATGAAAACCTAAACTTCATTAAATTTTTACTTTGTGAAAAATGGTATAAATTACTTCATACAGTATTACATAGTTATTGAAAGATCACATTACTTACCTGATTGACTTGAAAACTGTCCTTGATAATTGTGATATTTGCATTCGTCATACCACATATGAGTTGCCTTTATTCCTTCAAAATAAACAAATCTGAGATGTCATTAACAGCATAAATTAAACAGTAATAAATTCTTCACTCGTAAAGAAATTTCAAAATGATATCACTATTTACAATGAAAAAAAATGAGTGTTGGTTATAAATGTTTTACTTAATTATTATTATTTGAATAGTTTCTGTACGTTGATTGCTGTAAAACACTTAATTGAAACTGTTATTTAAAATATATTGTTTAGCAAATAGTATGTGAAGACGAACTTGTCTCATGACAAAGGAACAAGGTTATTCAATGAGCTCTACCAAAGGTTGTCGTAACTGCTTCTGTAGGCATAAAACACGTGGTCTGATTAACGTACCGTTTCGTAGCCTTATGTAAATGTGATTGTTTCATTTTAATCTGTCACTGTATTGACAGGTCAAATGCAGAAACATAAGACTACTGCAAATAAAACATAATCTTTACTGTAGGTTTCTCATTTGTATGAATAGTTGGAGTCCCTGTGTAGTTTGTACAATAATCTCGAGAGAAACCACGCCCAGCTTGTAAAGATTTTGTTATCACGATGACTATTAGTCGCTAATTCAGTGAGGTGGGAACTACAGAGAAAGATATAAAGACCTGTGAGAATAATGACAGACCAACAGTAGGTATTCAGCTTGCCGTCATGTTCCAGAATTCATGTGAAAACTGGAAGTAAACCGATAAAGTTCGCGAACAAAGGAATCAGAGCACTAAAGGCATAATGCATATAATTTTTATCATAAAGGAGAATGTCAAATCATATTATAGGTTCAAAGGCTAACTTCAACAGAGAGATCTAATGAAAATCATCAAACCATAATAAAAATAAAATATTTGGGCGCCGAGTGGGAAGTAGACATTTGTAAAAAGATTATACTTGTAAAATCTCAGCGAGATTGAAATGAGTAATTCCAACGTTTCGTTCGGAAATCTGGTCCGAACTTCTTCAGGGAAATTAATCGAAATTAACATAACAGAGGTTTATATATAAATGGAACATCACTTGTTTTTAAAAACTTTGTCCAATCATGAGTCATTCAACAAGTATAATAAACAAAATTTTATGAGCTGTGATCAAAATTTGACCTCGAACTTACAAGTATTGGTCTACCTTTGTTAAACACTTTAAACAGAGTGTGTATGTGTGTGTGGGTAAACAGTTGTAAAACATTTCTTAACGTTTCCATAAGAAGATATGGACAGTCGGGAATTTCGACCAAGTATTAATAATTGGTGATACATATCCATTTTTATTTATTAATAAGGATTTCCTATGCATCAGCTAACATCACGCCTTCATGTCTGTTCAATCTGTTAGTTTCTAGAATTTTATGATTAGACGTATTTTCAAAATTATGGTGTTTAGGATTAGAGTTTAGTTTAAGCACCCTGTCGAACTTATTGCTTTGTCTTCTTTCCGAAGACTGAGCTGCTTTATCCGACAGCTACGGATTTAGGATATGCATTCTGTTGCAGACAACCGAGAGTGAAAACACGATGATTGTGCCATAGTAGTTAATTTAATTCGATAGCAAAATAATTCAAATGAACTGTCGTCAAGATTTGACAGAATTCGACGGATTGCCGAACGAAACGTTGGAATTACTCGTTTCACTCTCGCTAAGATTTTACAAATATAATTTTTTACATAATAAAAATGCTCTGAACACTGAAACATACCCTGAAGCATTCTCTTAACACGCTGACTATTGTGTCATCCTTTAATTTGTCATAATGCACTAACCACTTGTGTCCTCTTGCTGATTGGTCCACATGCCTATTGCATATGCGTATGCATTGACCCTTAGCTATCTATCATATGCGCCAGTAATTTGAGAAGAACTGAAATTCCCATAGATGTGAATGGATACGCCTACTTAGTTTGAGCTCTATTTAGAATGCTGATGGCAACTATCTAGGTGACCATATCACTTCACGTCTCATACATAGTTGAGCTAGTTATGGAATAATGAAGATACACTGGAGAAGAGTCAAAAACTCAACCACAATCCATTGGTGTTTAATTTTCAGTCAGTTTCACGTAAATTCCGGCAATCGAAAAAGAAGAAGGTTTCTATGAGCATATCACCTCCCATTACGTTTCTCTATGCTTTAAAAGCCGTAAACAAGTAAGACAATGTAGGTATGTATATGCAGCTACATAAAAAAATTTGTGCTAACACGTCTAACACCAATTCAAGCGCCTAATTTCTTTTGATGTATTAAGTTAAAATTAGGCTGTTTAAAAGTCACAATTTTGAATGTTCAAGTGATTAGGAATCATGCAATCAGATGGAAATTCTGTTTAAATTGAATTGAAACAATACATTGTTTACTAGGCCTTAAACAGATGACCTTCGTCATCTTACATTGAACATGTCACCTGACACCGGCTTTAATTTTATTAGCATTTCTCGACTAGAATGTTACATTATGTTATTTACATACGTGCACTCTTTAAAATGAAGGTTTTTATATACAAATAGGTAGGTATGCAACAGCTATGCACACAACACCCTAGAAGTCATCGGGAAATGTGAACAGATTGTTGGAGCTGTTTACTTCAGCGATGCACGGGTTTTTACAAATGTAGATTTACGTAAAACACTAAACTTTTGTCGAATTATTATGTCCAGTTTTAACTAGAATTAGTGTTAGGCTGGGAAAGCTTCTTTCTTAGTCATGATTTATGCATGCTGTGACATGATAACCTGATTGGTGGTCATTTTATGATTCGTTCATTTACGAATTTGTTTTCTGAGGGATTATGATTTCATACAACCAATCAAATATGATTATCTACGGCTTCACTTCCTGTGGCTTTGTAATTATAATACAACAAGCGGTTGCTACTGATTTTGTTGTCAGTCGTCATCGATTTAACCCAGTAGGGATACTTTCTTGTGATTAGTTGGTAACGGTATCGTGTTGGGAGGCGTATTCCAGTTAAGTTAGACGACCCCACCAATCGGTAAAACTCCTTCATAACAATATGCCAATAAATTGGTGATCTGATGCATGTAACCATAAAAAGGTGTTTTATTTTGTGAAGCGAAGTATACCAACAGTTGTGTTTTCCAATTGATCCGTATAAATGAACAAAGTTATGGTAGTGTAACTGCGAAAAACAAGCCATCCAGTGGTTTGCAGTCTTAAATCGTCATCATAGAATGAACGTACAATCTTACCTTCGTGTTCTTTAGTCAAAAGAGACCTAATATTAGCTTCATCTTACTATGCAAATGCCTGAATGCATACCTCCGATTAGGGAAAATACATTTGAATAAAACGTGAACAAACATTTTTGAATCCTCTCAAGTCATTGAAGAAGCGCGAATATCTCATCTGAAACAGAATATGCGACATCCATGTAACTGTGGCAGAATTTCTTCCCGTCTAATTTACATTTTATTCTTATCTCCTTGGAATTACTCAGTTGGTAATGCTTGCAAATAGGACTTTTTGAAGACTACACAGAAATAGTTTGATGTGTGCGCAAAACGGTTGATTGAAGAATCACTTTTAGCATATTCTTAAAACCTTACAGAGTGACAAAATAGGCATCAAACTGCTTATCTTATGATGCTATTTAGTGAACTAACACAGTATCTAGTAAACTCACATAAACCTAATTCCTTCTTTATATACCTACTCAGTGTGCGTCGGTGGAACAGTGGTTAGGACGCTCGCCGACCATGAACATGGTCCGGGGTTCGGTCCCCTGCCGACGCACTCCTTTACCTCGTCAAACAAGTAATAAAATGCCAGTAAAGAGAAAAGGTTAGGCATGCGGCTAGCAACTTCATCCTGTAAAAGTAAACACTAATACAGAAACTTCAAGCCTCTAGCTTGAAGCCCTTTGTTCCACTGGGAACGAGAAGGAAAAATAAACTTACTTCTATTTAACCTCAACCAAGTCATAGATTTCTTTCATTCTGGAAAAAGTATTTCAACCTACCATCTATATTAGTTCCATAGGCTAAATTTTCACCGTAACCATCAGGTTGACTGTGCTTCAACATCCTCATACGGCATAGATGGTCAGCCCAGCTTTGTGCACCCCTAGCCAAATTTTCATCATAAATTAGAGGTGGACATCCATGCAATGCACGTAATCTAAGGGAGATAATAACATATGAAACAAATTGTTCAAGCATGAAATAAGTAAAGCAAGTTGAAAGAAAGCCCTGATTGACAAGGAAGAGTTACTAATGTAATCGTGACAAAAAGTAAGTTCACGTTGTGATTTAGTCACCCACTAGACAAGTGGGCTTTTCAGTTTCTTAAAAACTCTATTGCCACATTAAGTAATCTATCAGAATTGGAAATTGAAGACAGTCCAGTGCTGGTGTATGAATCCAAGCGTTGACTGAAGTTTGAAAATGAGAATAAGATCTGGATTTTCAACTCCAATGTGAAGTCAGTGCTACTCACTATACGGATCAGAGACTTGCACTGCGCGTCATAAAGAGCATCTCAAACAAACTACAGATCTTCATTAACAGTTGTCTTCGCTCAATACTGCTCAAGATCAGATGGCCGGCCAGAAAAGATCAGCAACAGAGATCTCTGGCAATGAGTGAACCAACACAGTAGGAACCGATTGTGAAACAAATAGGCAGGAAGAAATGGAGATGGATTGGCTAGCCATACTCTGAGGAAACCATCAAGTGACATCACAGGACAGGCCATCGCTCGAGTTGAACCCGAAAGGGAAGCGGCGAGTGGTTCGTCAGTGCGAGGGTGGGTGACTTGGAGGAGGTGATGTGAAGAGGAGATGAAAACGTGTGGGCAAACATGGAGCCAGGTGAAGACTCTAGTAGAGAACCGAACGCAATGGAGACGGGTGGCTGAAGCCCTATGTTCCTGTAGAAATTAAAGGAAACAATAAAAATAATACTACTCAAAATTTTGAAAAGTACAACATATGAATATTGTTCTGGTTTACTGACTGCAAGCAGTTTCCTGTGTTCAGTTTCGAGGTTCTCCTTCAGTCACCACCCTATAATTTGCTTTTATTCTGAATGAACGTCACGTGAATATGACAAGCATTTACTGTTTTATGTAAATTAATTGTTTAGATTAGCTTTAATAACTAGGTAATGCATAAAACATTAATTGAATTAATTTCGTGGAGTATAAAACTTTTAATGAATTGTTCTTTTTGCTAACAGAAAGAAAAAATAAAGAGTTCATAAGTTGTAGTAAGCTTAATTTAAAGTCTGTGTATGCAATTCCAGAATTATTTGTTTATTAGATATATCACACAGTGAAACGGTATTATTCACTGCATGACAATGTTTCGAACACAATTTATTGTTCATAATCATATCCTCAGTTATAATTACACTACTTCGAAACTTGAGTCTTTTAGGTTTCTTTATTCTTTCCTATTTGTCGTAGGGATAGTAGAATTTTCCAGATGTCCGGCCATACAGGTGTTCAATCATTCCTATTACACATATTTGAAGTTGATTCGATAAACAAAGCTTCTGTTATCAATCCCTCCCTCCACCCTGTGACGTTAGATTTTAAAACTTTCATCTTATCCCATCCATCTTGTTGTATGGTTGTGTGTGATTGCACGTAGTGAGTGCTGTAGCTGAACTATTCTCCAGATTTCTTATCTTACTAGGGTCAACTTATCTGAATTTAGCCAAGTTTTGTGCTCTGCTAGTCTGACCGATGCCGTTCTACTACTTCCACCTATGTATTTACCTGACAATCAATACAGGGTATTAGATAAACCAAATTGTCGCGTTTAATTTGCTCCACAGGATTTTTCAACCGACAGAGGTGTTTCCAATTAAGTTTGTGTGTGTGGATGCCACTTTTATTCCTGCATTGTTAAGAATTCTCTTCAAAGTTTTCAGGGTACCTTCTTTGTATGGGAGTACTACTTATGGTTTAAATTCCATTTTGTTGGTGTTGTCATTATTCTGTTCATGTTTGACATGAATACCGCCAGTATTATTATTATTATCACTATCACTATCAGTTTTAATTAATATTATTTTCACATTTTCCTACATATTTCCTGAATAATTTATCAGGGTAATTATTAAGTTTCAAAGATTCGATTATATGTCTCACTTTCTGTCTTAGGTTTTCCCCGATACTACTTAGTTTTTCGCCCTATTACTTAAACATTCCCCCAATCCAATTTTTTACTGACATAGCGTGGGATGATCCGAAATCTAAATATCTGTTTGAATGTGTGGGTTTCCTGTAAACACTGGTGTTTAACTTCTCACCGTCCTTTTTCACGTTACAATCTAACAATGGAACATTCATATGATTATGAACATTAAATTGTGTTTCAAATGCCATCCATTGAATCATACTGTTTCATTGTGTGATATATCTAATAAACGAAAAATAATATGGAATTGCATACTACCAAAATGCCCAAGTTTAACACATTTATCTGTGTAAGCATATTTAAACTATGTCATCGTCACTCGGCGTCAACAATAAAATTCGGATTTTTAATACAAACGTCAAGTCAGTCAGTTCTTCTATACGGATCAAAAGACTTGGCCAGTCACCAAGAATATTTCCAACAGCCTGTTGCAGACCTTTATCAACAACTGTCTTCGTTCTATACTGAAGATCAGATGGCCGGAAAGAATCACCAACAAGAAATTATGGGAACAAACAAACAAAACAAGAATCAATCACTCAACAAATATGCAGGAGAAAGTGGAGATGGATTGGACACTCACTGAGGAGGCCGTTGGGTGACATCGCGCGTCAGGCCAGTGCTCGAGTGGAACCCGAAAGGGAATTGGTGAGTGGTACTTTCAAGTGTGACATGGAGGAGATCGTGTGAAGAGGAGTTGAAACAGTATGGACTAACATGGATGCAAGTGAAAAGTACAGCAGAAGAGAGAAGCCAGTATAGACGTGCAGTTGAAGCCCTTTATTCCACTAGGAATCCAAGGGAACAATAATAATAATAATTCACATGAGCTCAGTCACTTGGCACAATTGACTTTAACCTTACGTGAACTGATTTTAAAACTTCTATTTTCATTACGCTATACTTATAAAAAAATTAATAGTTTCACAGTAGTTACTGATATCAGTCGATTCAACATATGAAATTTTAAGAAAACATTGCCTCATGCTCAATTAATTAATTTTATTGGGGCGTGAAAGACTTCAAGGAGAACTCCTGATACTAAAATCCTGACGAAAAACCAACGCATAGTCAAAAAAGACTAATCTAGATGAATGTGAGTACAAATTTGTTCACAAAAAATGAAGGTGTCACATCAAATCGTTGTCATTCAGTAACTAAATTCAGTTGCTTAGAATTTCGAAATGATACATATAGCATGTGAAATATTTTATCTATAAGCCGAATAATTAGCGCAGTATTTATCTATAAAAAAATACGAAACTGGAGGAAGTCATTTGTTGATCACAATGACTGTATACCTTGTCGTGTAGATTAGTGAAGTAGGTTCATGAGAAATACACAGCTTTGCCATTTCATGAAGCGATTACATTATTATTGTTCCCTTGGGTTCCTAGTGGAACATAGGGCTTCAACTACACGTCTCCACTTGCTTCTGTCTTCTGCTGTACTTTTCACTTGCATCCATGTTAGTCCATACTGTTTCAACTCCTCTTCACACGATCTCCTCCATGTCACACTTGAAAGTACCACTCACCAATTCCCTTTCGGGTTCCACTCGAGCACTGGCCTGACGCGCGATGTCACCCAACGGCCTCCTCAGTGAGTGTCCAATCCATCTCCACTTTCTCCTGCATATTTGTTGAGTGATTGATTCTTGTTTTGTTTGTTTGTTCCCATAATTTCTTGTTGGTGATTCTTTCCGGCCATCTGATCTTCAGTATAGAACGAAGACAGTTGTTGATAAAGGTCTGCAACAGGCTGTTGGAAATATTCTTGGTGACTGGCCAAGTCTTTTGATCCGTATAGAAGAACTGACTGACTTGACGTTTGTATTGAATATCCGAATCACTTTGTTGTTGATGCAGGCTGAGTGACAGTGGAAGATTTCCAGATTGGTTGGTTTCAGGCTGATGAATGTGTTTCTCGCTCATGTGAATATCTACCCTTTATTTCTTATTATTAAATGATAATCTATTAACATGTACTAATTTTGAACATGAAGTAGACGAATACTACTTCCTGAGTAAAAAAAGAGGTAATAAAAAGAAGAAAGATCGGTAGCAAGCAAGAACAATAGATTTTGCAGAAAAAAAATGGTGCCATCTCTTATTTCGTTGGCTTCTCATCAGCTGCCTACATACAGCCCAAAGATTTTACTAAGTCCATATATGGAAACAATTTTAACATACTTACACAGAGTTCATTTCTTAATTTTAAAAAAATCAATATATGCATAGAATACTACTAATAATAGTCATTTTATCGCAAACAATCATAATCATGCACAAAAAAATCTTTCAGCATTACGTAATCAAATGAAAGACAGGATGAAAACATCCAATTATCACAGCGGGTTTCATTCGCTTGAAGGAGACTGTTTCAGCAAAATTCCGCTCTTTTGCCTATTAGTAGTTTTGAGTGACCTTGCGACTTCCACCTCATGACACGTGCTTAACTATGTAAAGTTACGAATAACTAGTACGACCCATTTGGTTGAATCTACTTCTCATTGTAAGAAACTAACTATTTCACCCTCATACAGGGTAATGAGTGAGGGAATACTGTCACGATGTCTGTTCAATCTGGAACGCTCTCATTCTCTTATTCCGTTTTATATATATGAACAAATATTTGCGAAAACACTGGATGCGTGAATAATTTCACAGTGTTTTCTTTGGAAAACTGGAGAATTCAGTCGAATGTTCTGGTCCATTTCAGCTGAGCCTAATCTGCATACATCAGTTACATGTTAGGCATCAAACGCATAAAAATGTCACCTGATGATTTCAAAACTTCATTGAAGCTAGTGAGCAGTAATCATCGGTCCATATGGTTTTCAGTCACTAGTACATCTCATGCAAGTCAGGCAGCCTATACGTCGTAGAAATTAGTTTGAATTCACTCAAATTATCTTTAAACTGCCAGTACGTTCTTTTGTATTTAGACAAGGTTTGTGTATTGAAGATAAACTAAAAATCTTTGGCAAGTCGAGTTAACTACTCCGTGTATGAATAAAGTCAGTTAGTGTTTCTCATGATCTTTTTTTGATTTTTTGATTACAGCTTGATTCCACACAGTATTTTCTGGTATAGTTATGGAATTTTCGGCATATGATATTTTTATTTCCTTTAATTCCTACAGGAACATAGGGCTTCAGCCGTGCGTCTCCATTGCGTTCGGTTCTCCCCTAGAGTCTTCACCTGGCTCCAAGTCCGCCCACACGTTTTCATCTCCTCTTCACATGACCTCCTCCATGTCACCCTTGCACTGACGACCAACTCGCCGCTTCCCTTTCGGGTTCCACTCGAGCAATGGCTTGTCTAGTGATGTCACTTGATGCATTGTTTCCTCAGAGTATGGCCAGCCAATCCATCTCCATTTCTTCCTACCTATTTGTTTCACAATCGGTTCATGCTGGGTTGGTTCGCTCCCAAAGATCCCTGTTGCTGATCTTTTCTGGCCAGCCATCTGATCTTGAGTATTGAGCGAAGACAACTGGTAATGAAGGTCTGTAGTTTGTTTGAGATGCTCTTTATGACGCACAGTGCAAGTCTCTGATCCGTATAGTCAGTAGCACTGACTTCACATTGGAGTTGAAAATCCGGATCTTTTTGTTGACGCTGAGTGCTGTTGACCTCCACACAGACTTGAGAGTAGTGAAAGCTTGTCTTACTTTTCCGATTCTTGCTTTGATATCCTCGTCAGTTCCGCCTGTAGTTGAAATGATATGATATGATGTTGGTAGCCCAAATTTTGCAGGCCGACCATAGATATCAGGTGTGCGTTGGCACGGATCGAACCCCGGACCAAGTTCATGGTCGGCGAGAGTTATAACCGCTGTGCCATCGACGCACATGAAAGATGCAGTGACAAAAGTATACACGAAGAAAACAAAACAAATAATGGTAGCCCGAATAATGTTTCTTCGCCCTATCACATCTTTCACATGACAATTAACCTTCATCATCTGAGTAGCTTAACTCCGTAAAATTCTGAATGAGTAGCACATATATGCCGCTAGTTGCTTCTCTTTTTTGGTGATGCTCTTCACTCACATAGTGAAAATATCAAGAAGAAGGTTGGATACGTCAAAAGTTAGCACACCTCTGTTGTTCGTTTGACTGCGTACAGTTTTATTTCTATGAATAAACTATTTAAATGATGAGACTGCAAAAATGCAAGTTCACGAACCTTTCATACATAGCTCTATAGTCGAATTATTATTAGTTATTATTTTAGGTATGATACTGCTTAAAAGAAGTCTTTAACCCCTCTTTTACATTAGTTAACAAGTGATAATGTGCCAATTCCAGGAATGACCATAGCGGTGAAGACATTGGATTGAGGTGTTATTCTGCAGATTTCTTATGCAGCTTAAAGCGGTAAAACTGTGTTCAAGTCTTTTTGAAGTTTGCTAAGATTGTAGTGTCATGCTTTTATTTCCCGACCTCTAACAGTATTTTCTGTTATTTATACTTCACTATGTGCGACGATTGAATTTTTTCAGTGTTCTTTTATTTTATTTATTCGACATATCGTTTATAGACTTCATCATATTAGTAGCTTTGGAGTTTAGCAGAGATGAAACAGGTTTAAAGAAGGGAAGCACAATAAGTTAGGCATTTTCCGTTGCAGTTTTTCAGTTGCTTTTCTTTCCCAGAGCCTTAGGTTTACAGTCGTAATTGCATATTATTATTCCTTAAGCTTCAACATCGAATCTCCATTTCAACCTATTCTGCGTAGTTCTCTCTAGATAGCTTTATGATCACCCCTAGGCTTTTATCTCCTCCTCATGTTACCCTTGGAAGTCCATCTTGTCGTTCTTCACTGTGTTTGCATTCCAGTGGTAGACTGGCACGTGACGTCACTCAGAAGTCTCCACGGAGTTTGTTCGATTCATTTAAATGTTCTCCTATATTTTGTTGGGTAATAGGTGCTTAGGTGGTTCGTACCTGGAATTCCTTGTGGCCAATATTTTCTGGCCATTGAATATTGAGGATATCAAAGCAAGGATCGGAAAAGCAAGACAAGCTTTCACTACTCTCAAGTCTGTGTGAAGGTGAACAGCACTCAGCATCAAAAATAAGATCCGGATTTTCAACTCCAATGTGAAGTCAGTCAGTGCTATGCGCTATACGGATCAGAGACTTGCACTGCGCGTCATAAGGAGCATCTCAAACAAACTACAGACCTTCATTACCAGTTGTCTTCGCTCAATACTCAAGATCAGATGGCTGGCCAGAAAACATCAGCAACAGAGATCTCTGGGAGCGAACCAACACAGTAGGAACCGATTGTGAAACAAATAGGCAGGAAGAAATGGAGATGGATTGGCTGGCCATACTCTGAGGAAACAATGCATCAAGTGACATCCCTAGATAAGCCATCGCTCGAGTGGAACCCGAAAGGGAAGCGGCGATTTGGTCGTCAGTGCAAGGGTGGGTGACTTGGAGGAGGTCATGTGAATTGGAGATGAAAACATGTGGGCAGACTTGGAGCCAGAGAACCGAACGCAATGGAGACGCACGGCTGAAGCCCTATGTTCTTCTAGGAATTAAAGGATACAATAATAATAATGATTGAGCAAAGTCAGCTGCTGATAAGAGTTTGACTCCTCACTACACAATGTACAACTTTTCAATAAATTCATTTCGTCAAAACATTATTTTTTGCATGCAAATAATGAAAATCTAACGATGGTCTATACAGAGAAATTAAAAGTGTCATATAATAAATGCAGCGTTTGGGACTTGTTGTCTATCACTGGATATCAATTTCCACTAATTATTTATGAAATCGTTATTACTGAACATCAGTCTGGGGCTCACTAGTGACTTGCCCCATTCAGGTAGGTAGATGCCTGAGTTCTAATGAGAAGTCACGACCAGCGGAGTACAGCAGGTCGGATGTGGGGTTGAATGGTAGTCGTGCACTATCGTGAATTGGGAGAAGTCTGAATTCATGGGCTGGCTATTGGATAGGGTCCCAGTGATTTAATGGTCTACAAGCTTGCCTTGTAACAAGAAGATTCTGGGTTTGAACACCACTGGTTGCGTTGTGATGAAGAGTCTCAAACTAGGACGAAACAGCTGCCCATTACTACTAGGTTTACCAAAAGTCCTCCAACCAATTTCAGTTCATGATGAGATCCTGCAACCAACCAAATCTTTGCAAACCAACATTTGAATGAAATTATAGTTCAACAGGCAAAAATCTTATTTATTTAATAATTGACTTCCGTGAACTTTAATGCATTTTATGAAATTCTTACATTTTTAAACAGTGAAATAAGAAATGTCCGAAAAGGGTACTATTTTCCACATTTGATGAAAATTTACTGTTGCAGGAATAGAGGGTTTTCTTCTCAGCAGAAATCTTTGAATACTAATCAGTTCTGCCGTTCTTGTAGCCTACTAATGGACAGTGTAACCAGTCGATTAAGTAGCACGCATATTTAATTGTTGTGCAGTTGTTTTTCTCTTTCATCAAATCGATTTCAGTTGCATCGTAGGCGGGAGTAAAGCACTGCATAATAGTAAGTCTTTCTCAAGCACTTCGGATTTATTTTCTCCATCAAACCGGGACTAAAATAATTCAGACTCACTGCTGAATGTTTTGCATTTAAAACATAAGTGTTCCTGTAAAAATTCGTTCGGTAAATATGATTTATCGTAAATAAGAGTCAGTTTAATATACATGGTGAAACTGTATTTTGATATATTTACTTAAACTTCTGATGAAACCATTTGTTACATAATTTTACAATGCATGAGCTATCCTACTGACTTGTAAGTGATCTATACTGAGTCAAATGTACTAAATTTTTTTAAAAAGGAATCCTGGTTGTATGCTCTTCAAAAAACAGTGATTTTTATTGGTAATTAATTAACCGTTTTAATTTTTTTGTCTTTATATACGCCTAAGTTTCCAAAAGTCTGTGTTTTAAAATTGCTCAAGAAATATGTTAAAGAAAATTGTAGATGGATTGGGCACACACAGAAGAGATCCTCGAATGACACTGCGTTCCACACCGTCGCTCAAGTGGAGCCCGAGTGAGAAACGACCAGTTAGGCGTCACTTCGAGGGTGAACTGGAGGAGATCGTCAGAAGAGGAGACTAAAGATTATGGGCAGTCGTGAGCCCAACTAAATTGGACAGCAGAAAAATAGAACGATATGGAGGTAGATTGTTTCATTTAGAACCCAGGGGAACGATAGTAATATCAAGTTGATAGGAAAACGTCCTGTCCAATTTTGTTACAGGGAATAAGCAAGGAATTATGATAAGAAGAGAAACATAACTTGGAAAAATTCCTTCATTACATGCATAGAAGCCTAATTTTTTCATAAATCACTTCAAATCACCATACTAAATAATTTTCACAAATGCTATAGAACTTACCGATTGTGTTCAGCAATAGCCACCTGGTTTAGCTGTCTATCTACCATATTTTTATTCCCTATACAGACAGAGAATGTGAATTACAATATCCAACGAAAATAATGCAGTTAAAAGCTCAAACTGAGTATTATTGTGGAGTATATGTATAAATATATATATGCCACAATGTTAAGTTTAAAGTGGGTGGATGTTTTGAGTCTGTGAATTGCATTACTGATTGAACCATTTAAGTGCACATAGTAACACTGATCATGTGACGCTGAGTAAAAACAAAATGTTATGTGAATAAAAAAAATCATTTTGCCTTCTTCTTTGAGAATTTCTACAACGAAATCTTGCACCCAATGTGTGTACGAAGTTATTCTTAGCAGTATTATCTAAATTTATCTTTTACAAGTTAGATGATTGTATTATCAAGGTTTACTTATTTTCAGTAGTTTCTCACAGCGTCTAAAAATACGGAATGACTAGTATAAACAACCTGTAGTATGGAACAGGTACGACTTTTTAAATTTCACATAGACAGAAGATTCAGAAATTCTTTTAAGGACATGCTTTAGTAGTAACTGCGAAAGTTGACGAATTATTGACGCTTAATGGTTCACTGGCTAATCTTAAGTGAATCTTTAAGTGAAATAATACTGGTTATTATTTTCTGAAAAATGAAATTCGTTAAGTGCTTCTGTTGTCACCTATCATAACATACCAAATTATTTCTCGAATATTATCGAAGTGTATCATAGGCTGTGACAGAGAATTATACTGCAGAGAACGAAAAAGTAAGGACATTAGTTAGAAGTGTAAAATACTCGTTCATAGGTCTTATCACAAGTATTCCTCCTCCCTCAAGATAACGTACTAGTTGATAATAGGACATGGCAGTACGTGTCTAGTACCACAGTCTTTAATTGAACAATATTATTATTAGTATTGCTCCCTTGAGTTCCGAATGGAACATAGAGATTCACAAACACATCTCTACATTGTTTTAATTTCCGGTGTCCTGTTTACTTACGCCCACGACTGCCCACAGTGTATCACCACTTTCTCACATGATCTCCTTTATCTCAACCTCCAGTTAACACCCAACTCGTCGTTTCTCATTAGGGTTCTACTCGAGCAATGTTCTGGCGCACGATGTTATTTGATGGTCTCTTTAGTATATGCCCGATCAACCTCCATTTTCTTTTAAACATTTCTTTGAATGATAGGTTCTTGGTTAGTTTGTTCCCATAGTTTCTTGTTGTTGGTTCTTTCTGGCCATGTGATTTTCAGTATGGAGCCAATGTGGTCGTTGATAAGAGTCTGCAGCAGACTGTTGGAAACGTTTTCCGTGACAAGCCAAATTTCTGATCCATATAGAAGAATTAATTTAACATCTGTGCTGAAAGTCCGAATCTTGTTGTTTATGCTGAAAGGCAGAAGATTTCCAGACTGATTTCAGATTAACCAAGGTGTGTTTTGTCCTCCTGATTCCGGCTTTGATATTCTCATCCATGATGTCCGACTGTAGTTGAAACGATGCTTACTAGATAAGTGAAGGAAGTAGCCTCTTTCAAATTTCTCCCATTGATAATGACTGATGCTCCTCAAACAATACACTAATTAAAAAATATCTTGTCTTACACATATCCCTTCCAGTTTTGCTATCAAATGTTTCAATGTACATTAAAACCTATATGTACCAAGATAATTACAGTAGTACATGTCTTATTGGACTAGGATTAATGGGAGGAAATTGAATTTGACTTCCTTATCATGAAAACTTAACTAAACAAAGGGTTTTTGAATTCGCTCTACAATTTATCAGTAAGAAGTTGAGTCAATTTTGAAAGAATTACATTTCTTTTACAGTGATCTTTACTGGAAAGAGAAAAAGATAGATGCTACAATTAGCATACTTTCTCTATAACAATTCATTTACACAGTGTTTCCTCGGATAAATGTAAGTGGGTGTGGATGATTTTCGCAACGAATGAAAATGATAAATTATGTTCATTTGTTGATTGCTTCCCTTAACAGATATTGCATGACAACACATTTGGATTAGCGCTTAGTCATACCACGTTCAGGTAACTTTAAAAAATTATTCCAGTAATTCGTTTCATACAGTTAGTTACGGATGTAAACAAATCGGCTCTCTGGGGAATTATTCGAACAGGGCGTTTAAGCAGTTTGATTTCATAAAGAATGGTTGAGTGAATGAAAAAACGTCTACACTCTTTCATGAAATTGATCTTTCTGTTAACAGTTATAGAAGTGCTCAACGGATGGTTTAAAAAATGTATTCTGATATTCTTCATCCGTGCACACCTTGCACAAACATTTCAATAACACCTTGTGATTTTCAACATTGTAAAAAGAATGATGAATGCACTGTCAGCCTACGAATAATTAAAGCTCCAATTGTTTGGTTGTGAAGTATTTCACCGAACTGTTTTCCGATTTATGAAGTATAACGTCTTACAGACTTCAGCCTAAGGCAACTTCATCGACTTTGATTTGGGTAAAATGTGCATTCCTGATGGAGTTTCCTGGTGACCATCTGTGAATAGACTGCAGAATTCCAACACAACCAACACAACCTAGTTAGTACTCTTATTAGATGTCAGTGGCACAGTGGTACACTGCTCGCCGACCACACATGTGGTTCGGAGTCCAATCTCCGGTTAACACACCTTTACCTCGCTAAGCCAGTAGTGAGACTGAGAAGGCTGGGCATAAGGTTAGCAACCCAATCCTGTAAAAATAATCACCACTTCCATAGAAACTTCAAGCCTCTTGTTCAAAGCCCTATTTTCCACTGAAAACATAAAAAAATTGAAAAATGGATGTCACTGATATTTCTTAGCTTCGACTCCTTCTCAGACTACATTAATTCCTACTTATACAACAAGAGGTAGTCTAAGTATAGATCTTGATCAGTATGATTGAGTATAACAACTTAACAGTATTCACTTTCAATACATGTTATAGTTATTTGGTGGTTTATATGCTGGTTTGCGTCGGTGGTACAGTGACGCAGTGCTTGCCCGGGTTTCGATTCCCGGACGGCGAATATCCTTACTTCGTCTAGCCGGTTGTAAGTCTGACGAAGAGCAATCGTTGGAGGCCATAGACTTTATCAAAGCGTACATAGTCGTTACGTTTATAACACCAGCCGAACTCTTTTTCTCCAAAAGGAATTCAAATGAGCACGTACATAGGTTTCTAGGCAATAGTATTCCATGTGTTCAAAGCTACTTCTAGCAAAATGTCTCTGAAAAGGGACTGGCTGTTTCTTAATACCTACAAAATGGTTGTAGTGGGCTTGTATTTTTCTTCAGATATGAAAATAAGATGCGTTTAAAAACACCACACCGAAATAAGCCATAGAAGAATTTCATTCTGATAGTATACTGAATGAAATGATCGTTCAGAAAACTTTGCCTGCTTATTTTAATTGATGTTAATTTTCAGTAGAGCCCCTGAATTTTTGTTACTAGTCTTCTGAATGATGACCATCATTAAAATACAAAGGCATCATCAGTAGAGCCTGGATTTCACTGTGTGAAAATTCCTGAATGATAAGTTTCGTGCTTGTTAGTCCTCACTCATATGTGTTTAATGTATTTAAGGGCAAAAGATAACTCACCGCTATACATGTTCAATACAGAGAAATTGCTTTGCGGGATGCGATTTGTGATTTACACTCTAATACTGACTACAAGAGAACAGTGTGTGTCAATGACTAAATCGTTGAGTTTCTACTACAAACTACTAAGGACGCCATTCTCTAACAAATAATGAAAAACCTTGGAAAGGCATACCGTCATTTTGAACACTAGGGCAGTTCATGATGAAAAATGTGATCTTAGGCTATGTTTCTTTGGAATTTACTTCTCTGAATTTGGTTTTAAGAACTAACCTTTTAGTAAGGTAAATTCGTTTAAGATGCAAAGTGCGTTTTCACTTGACATTAAGATAAATTATGCGCTGAAACAAGGTTGAAAAAACATGTTCTGAGGACAAGTAAAAGGTCTCTTTCCATTTTTCAAAATGCAAGTCTTGAAGTTTATTATCCTGAAAATGAAACATGAAAAGGTGGAAAACTGAAGCTGGACTTTAGACTGATGCTGACTGTTGCCTACTTAGTTTATACGTCGCTCACTTAAATATCTTCATGAAAGTATGAGATATGATAATCCCCACCTGCGTTTTTTTCAACTCCTAAATAACTAAGTCATAGAGATTTGCGAAACCTTAGCTCGCAATCTAATCTGAAGATCTTCGTGACCTGAATAAGAGTATTATAAAGAGCGCGATTACGCAGAAGCTCTCATTTCCTCCTTACTTATTTTTTTTTCACGTTAAGCTAGGCCGGCCAACCCGTCACAGGCTTCTCACTCACGTTGACGATCTGGCATGTGATGTCACTCAGCTGTCTCTTTAGAGTATGTCAGATCCCCATTCATTTCCTTCTGAACATTTGTTGAATAATAGGTTAGTGACAGATTCATGGCACTGCCAGACTTCCTTTCCGCTTATACTTTATGGTTGGCTATCTGATAATCAGTATGAAGTGACGGTAGCTGTTAATGAAAATATTCTTCGGTAATATGAAGGCCAAGGCTCTAAACCATATAAAACCGCTCACTTAGTGTAATTTTTAACAAATTTGGACCATGTTCATTGTGCCAAGTACTTTGGACATTCGTTTTCAGAGCATTGAATGCTTGTCTTGTTTTGACATCACGTAGCTGACACAGTCTTAAGTATCCGGTTAAATGAAAGAGGCATTTTTCCTTAAATTTCTCTCATAGATGATTGCTGGTGTTTCTTGTTGGTCATCGTGTACTTGTCCTTTCATCTGGTGAATAATAATAATCGTTAGACACATGAAATCATTGAGGTGAACAAACATTAAATAATTGGCTTTTGAAAAACCATTAATGTAGGTTCTTCTCAAAACCTTATCCCTTTCTAGCCGTATAAACTATGTGGTTTCCGGAGATTGCTTTACTCATAAACGTCAGATTATTATTGGTCTCCAATCCCTTAGACACGATTCACAAACATACCGTTTCATGACTATCATTCAATGGCCACTTCACTTATGTTTTCTAGTATTCTAGTGCCGATATGATACCGTCCACAATAAGCAAGTTTTTTTGTATGCTTTCAATGAAAACGTAGATCAAGTTCAAACAAGATA